GCCATTGCTTGAGACATTCTTGTCAGGGATTCAGTGCTCAAATCAGAATTTTTGCCACAGCTGCTGCATTCCCTCACAGCCAATACAGCTCTGTCCAGTAGGATTTCTATAACAGGCAGACTACTTAGCCCTGGGCTGATCTGAACATAGAATGAGAAATTACATTTTCAAGAATTTCTCACTGGTGGTATATTTCCTGTGTATCTGCGTGTATTGAAATGATATTGCCTTGTACTTCAAATATAACTCGGCAGGAAATAATTCTTGAGTCACAAACTACATTCTCTGAGATTTTATAGACGTTGGTTCTCTTGGATGCCATGACAGGGTCAGATTATCCAGTTTCTCACCCTTGTTCATAGTTCCATTTGCTCTTTAGGAAACCTGTGAGATTTCCTTTTTAGCCAAATGTGGTAACTCACACCTGTAAGACCTGCATTTTAGAGACTGGGGCAGGAAGATGGTCGTGAATTCTAAACTAGTCAGCTCTGCGGTGAGTTCTAAGCAAGCCTCAGTTACAGAATGAGAACTGTATCAAAGAATTTTTTTTTAATCATATAAAAGGATGCCCTTCACAGGAAATTTTAGAGAATTCCAATTTTTTTATTGCAAATTTTCTTGGGACTTGTCCTGAGAGAGAAGAGAGGGGAATGAAGGTGGGAAGGGAAGCAGGGGAGGGGACTGGAGTGGAAAGGAGAAGGCTGTCTCTGAGTATAAGGGCACACATCCTGTGTGGTCCAGGTATCACTATTATGACATTGCTTAATGTTAGTTACCCCCATGAGGACCCTATCTCCAGCTACAAGAATGTTGGGAGTTGAGTCATCAACATATGGATCATGAGGAAGGGCCCACAATGTTTGCTATATAGCATCAGGCCTAGACATGGGCCTCACTGTTTTCATATCATGCTCTGTGTTTCAAGGGTGGAAGGACAGTCTGAAAACTGCACTTACTGCCTCTATTGACTTCATATCTGAGTACAATCAGTTCACCCCTTCTCAATTTTTTTTTATTTTATCATGCCCTTTAGTTTTCTTACAGTGATATAATTTTTCTAGATCACAGAAAATTCTTTATATTGTTTATTTTTGGACAGTAAAATTTTACACAATTTGTATTTCAGAAGAGCTTTATGTTTAAATTAATTATATAACCATTGTCATCTCTTGACATCTGTAAATACCATTGAAAGATGGGCTAAGGAGCTGAACAGAACGTTTTCAAAAGAAGAAGTAATTATAATTATTTACTATAAAATAATCTTCATGTGGTAACCATTAATTCAATGATAAATGACTTTGCCTAAAACTTTGATTATATTTCATGTATCCACATACATCGAATTACTAGCACATAGATGGCCATACACTATGTTTTTGATTTTTTTTTTTTACAATTCTCAATGAAACGTACTTGAGGTTCAGATGTCATGGCTGAAGCCTCTGTAAATGCTATCCATCATAAAATCGCCTCAGCTGTCATGGTAGAAGAGAAGAACATTTAGTTTAGGAATGGTATGGACTGGTTCCTGCAGGATGGCTGTGGCCACAACGTGTCATCTTCGGTGTCTCTAGAGTGCACCCCCTGCTTGTCCACAGCTGCTCATTTCTAGGCATTTTTGAGGAGCAGGAGTTAAAGCATTTAGAGACCCCGACTATGCCAACCACTTTCAGTAACAGTTGGTTTCCTAAATGAATTGGCATGTAGGCCTAGCTCTGTGTAGCTTTGTTTTATTGTCTGTGGTATTAGAAATAGTTTTGCTTTAGAACAGAAAATAAAAAAAATCTTTGTGCCTAGAGTGGTTTCCAACAACTCTTTAAATACCTTTATGCCTAAAACAGAAGAAGATGTGGTTTGAATAATTTAGTAGTGTTCAAATGTCACATTTTCAGACATTTATTTTATGGCTTTCCTGAGGATCTGAGCCAAATGCCTCTCTAGAATTTAACATCTTATGTGTCCGCATTCCTGGGTAAACAATAAACTGTCTTCATCTTTGAATAAAAGTTGTCATGACAACTTGGTAAGCTTGAACTCTAGAAGTCAGTTCTAAGTTCTAGTCTTTAGACTAACCAGAATTTTCAAATATATGTTGATGTTTATGGGGACTCTGATTTAACTAAACAATACAGGCATAGTTTTATATAACCACGGTAGTAATTTTGTCATATACATCAGATAAATAAATTTGTGTATATTTTTACAGACAATTCATTATTTTGTTACAGTGTTTTTCTTTATGATAAACATAAGCTTATTTTATTTTAAAAATATTTTATTTATAATTTTTATTTTATGTGTATGAGTATATTCCCTGCATGTATGTTAGTGCACCCGTGTAGTGCAATGCCACAGAGGTCAGAGAGGGCTTCGATTCCCCTGGAGCTGGAGTTAAGGACAGTTCATAGCTGCTATGTGGGTGGTGGGAATCAAACCTGGGCCCTCTGCAAGAGCAGTCCCTGCTCTTAACCGCTGAGCCATCTCACCAGCCCCAAACATAAGCTTATTTTTAAAGTAAATACAGACATTTAGAATTGGGCATGGTGGTCACACAAGCCTTTAATACCAGAATTCTGGAGGCAGAGGCAGGTAGATCTCTGTGGGGTAGAGGTTAGCCTAGTCAACATAGTGAGTTCTGGGCCATCTAGGGCTACAGGAAGATCCTGTATCAAAGTTATACTGAATTCTATTTGTGGAATTTTTATGTCTTAATAAATATATGTGAATTTCACAGCATCATAGAATCAGTTACATAATTTGTCTAAAGATTGTGTTGTTGACCTTAATGCTGCAATACTAAATCTCCTTGAGTCTTTGCTCCAAAGCCACCTTTCCCCCAAACTCATTAAAACGTTAAATGAATTATTATGACCTGTTCAGACCTGATGACTTTTGGCAAGTTATACAAGGATCCATTTCTGCTGTATGGTTCCCTAGAATATCAGAATTGAATATGTGCTTGTTATCCAGATCTACAAATATGTCAGAATTGTCTTTTTCAATCTTTCTTAATTTTGGCCATAAATAAGAGAAACATGATTTCAGTTAGGATTTCTCTAGTTAGCAACAGCCTAACTTAAGGAACTTTACAATAAAGTAAATTGAGCAAGTGCAGCAGTCACATACAAACAAGCCTTTACAGTGTTGGCCATTCTGTTCCTAATATGTGTTTGCTCTACTTACAGCAGGGTTTTCTCATCATCTCAGAATGGCCGCAGTTGTATGAAATCGCATACACAGACATAACAGTAATCAGAATAAGGGAACTTATCTCTTCTCACTCTGAACTCCTGAAGGCCTTGCCAACGGTCCCTCTTAGGTTTATATGCATACGTACCTCCTGAATGCTATGGCTGACTGAATGCCATGTGCAGATCATTTGTTCCATATCTGGTCGAGAAGTCCCGGTAGAGTCCTTTATGCAGTTCGCTATGATTGCCTGGAAGGAGGAGCTGGAAACCCATGAGGCTTTTCATCCCCAGCCACAGGGCATTTCACTCCTGCATCTTGCCCTTCTTCTCTCTCTCTGACTTCGCCTTGCTTGTGGACATACACAGACATTTGTATGACACCTAAGATTTCACTATAAGTTTACCCCCAAATCTTTATCAAAGTCAGAACTGTTGCTAACATTTAATTTCTCTTGTCAATACCTATGTTTTGAGTCATATATTTTCTTTTAGTCACTAGGCGAAATTCCTTTAGAATACTGCTTAGATCATTCCTTTTCTTTCCATAATTTATATATACACATATATATATATATATTACCCTGGTGTTTACAAGGAAGTGTATGAGATTCTTCTTTTGACTGAATTTCTTGAATGCTCACATGTCATTCAAACAGCACTTTGATAATAAATGTATTCGACAAAATTATCCTAAATTTATTTTCCACATCCTGGGCATTCTGGTCAATATACTTTTTCCCCCTCATTTGCTAGAATGTTCTAAGGTATGTTCCATTTAATGACTCCTCAAATTGATAAACATCATTGTATTTCTCTCTCTCTCTCTCTCCCTCCCTCCCTCCCTCCCATGTTTATATGTGGGTGTATATATTTGTGTTAGAATCTGAATGTGGGCCTTGGGCTGCACAAGGCAACATCAGGTGTCTTTCTTGAGTTCTCCACCTTTTTTTTTTTTTGAGACACTGTCTCTTATTGAACTTGGAATTCACAGGTTGGCTAGACTGGGTAGCAAATAAACTCCAGGGATCCCCCTTCTCCACAGCCCTACCCCTAGCTCTGAAATTAAAGGTCTATTTCAACATGCCCAGCCTTTATGTGGGCACTGGGAACCTGAACTCAGACCTCCATGCTTGCATGGCAAGCACTTTGCCAACTTTGCTGATGGATCATCCCCCTTAAAAGCATCATTGTACTTTGTGGTTTACAAAAAATGATCTGGAAAAGCCAAGTGCCGTATGACTTTTTTCTGGCTGTTCCTCAACAAAACTGCATTTTTAGAACTTTCAAATCTACATGTTGAGTTGTAAAATGAAAAATAAAAGCTTTTGGAAAAACGTAGTGGTAATGAGAAGAATTCAAATAAAGTAGATTTTTAATAAGGCTAATTAAAGCTATCCTCTCAATTTCTAGAGCATTAACTGAAAGCAGAGCCTATTATAACCTCATTTATAAAACAAAATCTAGAATGTGTAGTCACTGACTAGCAATTATAGCTCATATCTTTAGTAAATATTTTTAAGTCAGATTTTTTTATCCGGACAGCAATTAAATCTCCGTTATGGTGACAAAACCCTCTTATTGTATACAGATCATAAATTTGCTTCTAAGTTTTGTATATTTCACTTTCTTCTAAAGAGGATTACCAATTTTACATGTTATTTTCATCTTAATTCACTTCCCCAAGAGGTTGTTTAAATCATCTTGCTATTTTGAAGACCAGTGATACTTTAATTACAACAGGATTCTTTTAAACGATTTAGGAAAAATACCGCAATCCCTAAGGTTCGTCATCCTCTCTTCTTGCAGGAGGATACAGATCACAATTACTATATTTCTCGGATATATGGCCCATCGGACTCTGCCAGCCGGGATCTGTGGGTGAACATAGACCAAATGGAGAAGGACAAAGTGAAGATCCATGGGATACTGTCTAATACTCACCGGCAGGCTGCAGTAAGTGCTTGGGCTTTGGGGTTTCTCTTATGTTTTTCACTGTGAGAAAGTTGTTGATCAATATGTGATCACTTTCCAACTGCATCCTGTTCTATAAGTCATGAATAATTGCACACAAGTTATTAAAGGTAACGAGAGGTTTTTAAAAAATAAGCTATCATTATTTTATCTGATTTCCATAGTGTCTGATGAATTATGCCATTTATTCAAAGATATGATTCACGTGGATTATTTTCAGTGTATACAGCATTTAAAAAATTAACCTGATCTTGGTATATTACCCCTGATGTGAGTTTACTGGTTTTCATGTCAGAAAAAAACTAACAAAATCTGTTTGTGATTGAGACAACATATGTAGACCAAGTTATAAGACTGAGTGAAGAAATTTACTATAAAGGAAAGAATTAAATATAGAAGGTATCAACTTGGTATTTGAAAATCTGAACCCATTATTTACTCGCTTCCTTTCTGGAAGTAAAGAATTTATTCTGTGGTACAATTTTTGCCCCAGGAAAATAGAGGTGGGAGGGAATAGTCGCATCCCTCCCACATTTATCTGAAGTAGCTGGTGCTGGCTGATTCTGTGTACCAGGCTTAACGTTTACATAGATTAGCTCTTTCAGGTTCATCATTACTGAACAGACTCCACAAATTGTCCTCAAACTTCCACACTTCTGCTATGGTATGTGGACCCCCCTACAACACAAACACACACAAGTAGTAAATAAAGTTAACAACTAAATATCACTAACATCCAGGTATTACAGATAAGAAAAACTGAGTCCTGAAAAAATCAGAAAACCTATCCATAAATAATGAACCCAGAGGTAAAACTGAGATATTATAATACATAGTCAAAGCCACAGATTCTTGCTTGGTATTTGTGTATGTCAAATTGATCATGTGAGCCTGTGAGGTGGCTCATCAGGTCAAGGTGCTTGCCACTGAACTAAAGACCTCAGTTCCATCCACGGGTCCATCTGGTGGAAAGAGAGACCCACATCTGGCAAGTTGTTCTTTTACCTACACACACATACACACACACACACACACACACACACACACACACACACACACCATCGCACACATGTGCCCACAGACATATACGCACACAAAGATATCATGTATGTATGCATACACGTACACATATATGTGATAATGATGAGAATTGATTTCAGAATATTCTTTATGATTATTTTTATGACAAAATGACAGATTTCACATTTTAAAATTCATTTGGTTTGGATGGCATGAATAATACTGCTCTTCATGAAACACCACACTGCCTTCAGGGCTACTGTCATCATCCCTATGAAACAGTCAGCAGTGTTGGTAGAAGTTACTTAGTCACTGACTTCATTAATATTTAGTATCAAAACTTTTGGCAATGACCTTTGTTGTTTATATGTGGAAGTTCCTATATCATGAGACAACCAGTGCCAGTTAAATGAAAATGAAATTAATTATAATTGATCACAATGAGCCTATGAATTCTCAACACAGTACATACTTGTTTGAGTCTGAGAGGCAAAATAGCTACCTCTCTTTACTAAATTCTGTTGTCCCGTTTCTTTTCCATATCAAGTGATCCCAGACAAGATTCAGAAATGATTTACTTTGGGATTTAGAACATATCCTCATTAGAGGAGAAAATGAGAAAAATGAGCTTAGGATAAAGCCTATCTGGAATGTATTTCTTTTGATGGGCTTTCAACTGTATGACAGTGACTCGTAGTGTGAAATATACCTACAGAAGTTTGAATGCTGGTGTATCTATGTAGAGTCCAGGAGGTGACTAGTCTGCTGTTAGCAACTGTGGGTACTGTCTATAGGAAAAGAAAAGTTCCAGTTAGAGCATTGGCTAACTTCTTGCACATTCATGTGCCCACTGTTTTCTGCGCTCTCTCATTTGAGAAAATGTCTGTGTCCTGTCTGTTCCTGATGATTTATTTTTTTCTTTTGAATGGTATTCGATAGTCTTGTGACCTCATGGAAAATTATGGTTCTATAGTTAGTTGTTTATTTTCTTCTTGTTTGTGTGGGGGTGATGTTGATGCCTTCAACACCTTACTTAGGCAGACCTACATGTAAGTGGAAGGACTCAAATTTCTGCTTGAAAGTTGGTTTTCCTTGCATTCATTTTATATATTTACCATTTCTAGAAGCCTTTCTTTTAGAAACTCTCCTCATTTTGTGTTGTAGCATAACTTGTTGCTTTTCCATGAGTTTTGAGACAAACGATTTTCAAATTTAGATATGGCCCTGAATTTACCTGTTATCACCAGGAACAGAAATATACATACCATATACACAGACCCCATATACAGAAACACATACCTCATATTCAGATACACAAACTCCACATGCAAATGCATACATCACACCTTCCCACATGTGCCACACTTACCACATATAGATACAAATGCCACACACACAGATTGCTGACATGAAGATAAACACACCTCACATGCAGATATACACATCTCACATACATATATACACATACCCACATACAGATACATATACCACACATACATATACATATTCTCACAAGTACTATATACAGATAACTACATCCCACACACCCCACATATAGATACAATCACCCCACATGCAGATACAAACAACAGAGATACACTACATATACATATGCAAGCACCATACATGCATATACACATACCTACATAACACATGAAAACACACACTATATATACATATATACACAAAGCACATACCATATATAGATACACACAGCACACAAATTGGGTACACAGATATCCATACCACACACACCACATATAGATTCAAGTGCTGCACAGATCCCACGGTTATCACACCATACATACTCCACATGCAGACACAGTCACCACACATGCACCCCATATACAGATAAGCACACACATCCCATACAGACAATATACATTATATCCCCCACACTCACAGAGCACACTAACGGACTTTAGAATATATACATAGCCACACTCAGACACAAAGTTCCATTTATGACACAAGATCAATAATATTATTTAGGTTCCCATTACTTTTCAGAAATGTAATTTGATTCTTGGACTCCTTCACTTATATAAATTTCCTATCTTGAAATACATTTGCTTGGTATAATGTTTTTAAATTTCCTAAAAGCATTCTTTCTAGAGTGACCTACATTTAACCTGTGTCTGATTGGCTTTGGTGTCTTTCCAATCCTGGGTAGTTCTCTGATTTTTTTCGCAGGATGTCTTCCCTCAAAATAGAATTAGCTTGTGAGAGTTGATGTAAGAACTACAGTGTTGAAGTAGTGTTGTGAAGAGGGAGCTCAGTAATGACTCCACAAACACTCCCTTTAACACACACATACACACACACACACACAAACACATACACACACACAAACACACACACACCACACACATTCTCTCTCTCTCTCTCTCTCTCTCTCTCTCTCTCTCTCTCTCTCTCTCTCTCTCCTATTCATCTGTCCCCTATCTGTTCCCAAAGAAGCTCACTTACCCACAAGAGGAAACAGCAGAAGAGAAGCAGGGTGGGCTTTAGAGAAGGTGCTCCTAGTGTCCCATAGATAGTTCTCGATGCAAAGCTTTCCAGTAATTTAGATAGAAACAGAATTTCAATTTAAGCCCTGGAGAAAGAGTGCAGATTTCTTAGATCTTATCAGCACTGATATAATTTGCATGCTTAGAGATTTGCATTCTGTCAACAAATTAGACCAGAAAAAGACAAAGGAAGATCCTGATAGGAAAAGATGGAGGAACAGCTGACTAACACAGTTCTGTTTAAGCAAGTTGCAGAGTGAGAAAGCCAGAAGGCTGGGCTTCCCTGAAGAAGTGACTTCTGGCCCCTTTCCTATTTCCTCATAGAGGAGAGGATAAGAGGCTGTCTTTCCTGGGATACTGAAAAATTAAGGAAAAAAATTCCCATTCACCATCTATTAATGTCTAAATAGGAGTTTTGGAACATTAGGTTAATATTCTAGAAAAATTAGGAAGGTAGAAATAAAATTAATTTTCCTGTTCTGTTAAAATAACATTTCAGAGTAGAGTAAAACTTAGAAATAATTTAATTCATGCTAAAACAAACCAACTTGTCTTTCTTTTCTTTTTTCCTTCTTTCTTCCTTTTTTAAACTTATTCAAATCATTATCATTACTATTTATGTTATCTCTCTACGTGGTAAAATTTTATTTCGTATGCTTTCAAGTCCTTCCATTATACATTTTGTTTACATTCCTCCTCCTCTTCCTCCTCCCCCTCTTCCTCTTCCTCCTCTTCCTCCACCTCCTCCTCTTCCTCCTCCTTTGAGACAGGGTCTCCCTGTAGCCCCATCCTCCTCCTCCCCCTCCTCCTCCCCCTCCTGCTCCTCTTCCTCCTCCTCTTCCTCCTCCAACTCCTCTTCTTATTTTTATGAGACAGGGTCTCCTTGTAGCAGTAGCAGCCCTTGGTCTCACAGAGATCCACCTATCTCTGCCTCTGAAGTTCTGGGACTAAAGGTGTGCACCACCATGCCTACTTTACACTACACTCCTTAAATCATCATTTAAGATGTCCCAGTAAGGTAGATGATAGATACTTGTTTTGTAGCTGATAGATTAAAGCAAGCAACATGACTTTCTGAATTAAGATAAGTGAAAATTTTATTTTTTAATTTTTAAAATTTATTTTTATTCTATGTGTACACATGTTATGCCTGTGTGTATGTAAGTGCACTTGCATCCTGCAGTGCCTGTAGAGGCCAGAAGAGGGTGGCAGATCCCCTGGATCTAGAGTTACAGGTGGTTGTGTGTGCTGGGATCCGAACTTGTGTCTTCTACAAGAGCAGCCAGTGCTCTTAACCGCTGAGCCGTCTCCAGTTCCTCAAGTGAAATTTTTATATAAAACCTTAGCTTATGGCAAACAATGAGGCAAATAGTCTTCCTGAAAATTCTTACGTTTTTTTGGAATTTTTTGTACTTTATTCAAAGACACACAGTTTCATCAGGTTGCTGTTCT